CAGGCTCTTTCCTTAAGAACCCAGAACTAGACTTTAAATCTTTTGTGTCTTTACCACTTCTCATTCCCTGGAAAGCACCCTCAGCAACATGATAAATTGTGAACATGACATGAGTTGAATTTTACTGCTTCTCAGCTGGCTTTTACTAGAGCAAATGGTAGCAGATGCATGGAGAAATTGCTGGCCAAAGACTGCCAGGAAAGCACTGCAGTTATAATCTGTCCTCAGATATAAACAGGATATAGGCAAATTTGTGTTCAGAAGAGGACTGTTACCAAGAGAAGCAGCCTGACCAGGTGATATGTTTTTTGGAAGTCATAACCATCAATATTTTCCTTCTTCACTTTGTAGCTCTCAGGAATAATTGCTATTTTTTTTTCTTTTTCCCCAGATGACTATTAGGATATAAAACTACTGTTTCTAAACTTCTATTCATTTTACCTTTAATTTAAAAGAAATGAATGTGGCTTTTTAAAATAATTACCCATATTCTTCCCCTTCAGGCTGTTATCAGTAGTGATAATTGGACACAATAATTAAAAATATATTCTTTTTTGTTTGTTTGTTTCTCAACAGATCCAAAAAATGGCTTAGTGTCATTGAGATTTTCAAGTGCCCAAGTAAATCCCCTGGAAGTAATTTGTTTTTCAAATTTAGTTTGAAAAGCAAATGTCAGAACTTCCATCTGAAGTAGGCTGTACGATTGCATGTGGGAGTCAGAAGTAATCTCTTTGGTTTCTAGTCAGTAGAATTTCTGGAGAAATGAGATTTAAAATGGCACTTCAGTTAAATCCATTATCTTCTGCTAGTATACCAAAACACAATTCGATTGAGGGTGTAGTGGTCTTCCAAAGAGCTAACTCTGAAAAGTTCAGGATTATTTCAAATATTTTGAATTGTGCAAAGACCTGCTATAAAGATTTCATTTATAGACGGTTATATTCAGTAGGCTAAAAAATTTGTTTTTTTTTTTTTTACAAACTGGCAATGATTTTGAGAAGGGTTAGATAAATGCAAAAATATTGGTAAAATTTGGGAATGATATAAATCTTAGCCATAATTAATACTCTGGATAAAATGACAAAATAATCAGATCAGAGTTGAATTTTAAATTAAAAGACAAAAATAAATTTAGAGTACATGCAATTAAGTGTCAACACTTCCAATAATAAAACTAAGTGACAAATATAGGTCAGGGATGAGGGATTTTGTACACAATCATAAAAATTTATGGTAATTGTCTATAATCCTCTTTGATGAGCATACTCTGTCAAATTCTCAATAGGAAATGGACTCATTACCTTGCTTATGTAACTGTAATCCCTCTTTACAGTATCTTTACAAAAATATATATTAAAAATAATTTAAAAATTAAAATAAAATGAACCAAAATTTCTATCATTTCTTGAAAAGGTTAAGGTTTCCTCTTCCTCCAGGATTTCTTTCTTTTTTTTTCCACCTTGAGCTGTTACTGGGCTTGAACTTGGGGATCCTAGACCACTGTCCCTTAGCTTTTTTGCTCAAAGCTAGTGCTCTACCAGAGCTACCACAGCTCCACTTCTGACTTTTTGGTGATTGTTGTAGATAAATTCTCAAGGCCTTTGGTGCCTGGGCTATCTTGGACTGAGATCTTCTGATCTCAGCCTGCTAAGTAGCTAAGATTATAAATGTGACCACTTGTATACTCAATGTATATATCTTTTGGCTCTCTGTGAACCTTATTGTGGATCAAAATGAGGAAATAATGGGGTGGGAGAACTAAAACAAAACCCAAAACTAGTCTTCAAGAGTCCTATCAGTTCTGGGAGCTGGTGGCTCCTACCTATAAACTTAGCTACTCAAGAGATTGAGATCTGAGGATTACAGTTCAAAACCAGCTCAGGCAGGAAGTCCCTAAGATTTTTATTTCTGATTAATCCTCAAAAAACCAGAAGTGGAACTGTGGCTCAAGTGATAGAGCACTGGCCTTGAGCAAAAAGCTCAGGTTTAGCTCCCTGGCCCTGAGATCAAGTCCCAGGACTGGCACCACATGAAAAAAAGAGTAAGAAAGAATAAGACTACTTAATTTTTCTCATTAATACTTCATTTGGTAGGCTGAAACAAGGGAATCTTTTGAATCCACAAGACTGAGATAGTTTGGACAGCATAGTGAGACCTTCTTTTGTTTTGTTTTGTTTTGTGGGGCCTGAATTCTGGTCCTGGGTGCTATCCCTCAGCTCTTCAGCTCAAGGCTAGCACTCTACCATTTGAGCCACAGTGCCACTTCTGGCTTTTTCTGCTTATGTGGTGCTGAGGAATTGAACCCAGGGCCTCATGTATGCAAGGCAAGCACTCTACCACTGAGCCACCTTCCCAGCCCCATTGTTTTTTTTTTCCCAGCCCCCTCCCTTCTCTTTCCTTTCCACTTTCCTCCTCTCCCCTCCCCTAAACACACAACAAAAGAAAACAGCAAGCACTCCTGACTCTTCACACAACCAATTTTCCTAGATGAGCCTAAATACCATTCATTCTTTTAGTGGTCTGTTACCTGGTACTGGGAACAGCTTATGATTCTGAAGGCCCAAGAGCATGCTGGCTGCATCTTCTCTGTCTGGGGAGTCTTTTGTCTATATCACAGCATGGCTGATGGTATCATGGTGAGAATAAAGGTGAAAAGTGAGAGGTCATGTGGAGAGACAGGAAGCCATAGAGATTTAGGAGCCAAGTTATCTTTTTCTATAACAACTAACTAGTAAACACAAACCAAGGTCTTTGAAAACTATGTTAATTGCTTCTGAATTCAGTATCTCCAAGGACCACCTTCTATAAAGTTTCACCTCTCCAAGTTTCTACCACCTCAACAATGCCACACTGAGGGTCAAGGTTATATCATATAGGGGTAGGGCATAAGCTCTATATCTAACTCAGCACTCCTCAAGAGGAAGATGCAAATATTGATCAGATTTTATGGAAATAAAAAATAAACTGTTTACCTTAGCATTATTCAAGAATGTTCTGCAATTATACCAGCCTTTTCTATTTAAATTATTCAGGACAGTTGCCACTAGTCACATGTAGCTATGTATATTTGAAATGTGAGTAGTTTGAGGAACTGAATTTTCATTTTTATTTAATTTTAATATAGCTTAGATGGGCATATATAATCAGTGGCTAACACTTTGTTTGGGTTTTTTTTAACTGTATTTTTTTTTTGTCTTTTCTTTTTTGGTACCGGGGATCGAACCCAGGACGTTGCACTTGCTAGGCAAGCACTTTGCCACTGAGCTACATCCCAGCCCAGTGGCTAACACTTTGAAGGCACGTTTCTTTTTTTTTGAATAACACAGCAATTGCTAAAGAATTCATAGCTTTGAGAAGGCACTAAGTAGATACATTAATTGCTCACTGGGATTCACTATTCTGAATCTCTCTCTCTCTGTTTAGTAGTGCTTATAATTTTACAAAAGGCTTCCTTGTAATAAGTCCATACATGAATATAATGTACATTTGTTAAATTCATCCCCTCTTTTACTCTTTTTTATACTGTGTCCCTTTTTGCTTTTTTGCAGTTTCAGTAACCTTTATTTTTCTATTTTAAATATGCATATCAAGTGCTTTGATAATAATCACCCCTTCTTACTCTTTCCTTTACCCTTTCCCACCTTCTAGTGTTCTCAGCAGACTTCCTTTCACATTCCTGTCACTTTTTCTTAGGTCTAGATCCTGTATATGAGGGAAAATATGCAATATTTGTCTGAGTTTGGCTTATGTCACTTAACGTGATGATCTCCAGTTTTATCTATTTCCCCCCACGTGATGACATAATTTAATTCTTCTTTATGGCTTAATAATACTCTATTGTGTATATATACCACATTTTCTTTGTTGATTCATCAGTTGATGAGTAAGTAGGTTTCTTCTATATTAAGCCAAATGGTATTTAGAAGTAATACCACATTTTGATATAGTTTTCTTCAGAAAGTCAACAACCAGCTAAAGCATTTATAATTGAAAAGAGACCGTTCTCTATACTAATTTACAAATGTATGACCTATTTTCATAAGCACTCTGTTAGATATCATTCTGTTTCCATTTCATACAACAAATGAAATGGTGTTACAAAATAATAAAGCCAGAGACACATAGCCAGGAAGTAGTGCAAACAATGTTTGAAGCCAAGTAGGGCTTATCATTGGTGTGTTTAACAATGAACATTTCCCTTATTGATTCCTAGAGCTCTTGTGCTTATTTCCCTAGACATCACTGGGAAAAAGAACATGAGTCAGGAATATGAGCTCTAATTCCAAGTGCCTGACTTGAATCCTGCCTCTACTACTTACTACCATATGGACTTGAACAAGACAATATCACTAAGTCTGAATTTTCTAAAAGGGAAAATAGAAATAATAAAGGCATCCACTCCACTGGGTTGTTGGGAAGGTTAAATAATAGTGCCTTGACACTGTTTGACCCATTTAAATTTGTCATCATTATTTTTAATTAGAAAGAGACTAACATTTTGTGTTAGGAGGGATTCAATATGACATTAATAGATAATATAGAGATATAGTTTGGGTACGTTTCCCAAAGCAGTATGAGAGACACTAAGAATTCACACAATACAGGAAGAAAAGCTCTATTGTTAAAGCCACTTTGGTGTCTCTGTCACTGAGATTATAGTTTCAGAGCCTTGTGCCCTGGCCAATTCCTCATATCTTTGCTTTTATGTTACCCTTAGAGATGTCTCCTTTGGTGTCTTTGATTGGTTCTGAATGCTGAGCAGTGACAAGCACCAACACAGCTGGAAAGAGCTGTAAGATTTGCTATTCTGTCTTCCAACAGGGAATTATTGCCATGGATACTAGCACCAGAGGGAGACTGGGTAGCACTCTCCACTTACCTCCTGAGTGTCTGACATCTGTTTCTGGCAAGGCCAATAATGAATGTGCTGCTAACTTCATATCAAAACATCCACACAAGAGACTGATCCACACCTTTTTTTTCCTCTCCCCCCCTCACAGATGGCTTCTACTCAAGATGCCAGGTATGGCCAGAAAGACTCTTCTGACCAGAACTTTGACTACATGTTCAAATTGCTGATCATCGGCAATAGCAGTGTGGGGAAAACATCTTTTCTGTTCCGTTATGCAGATGACTCCTTTACATCTGCATTTGTCAGCACCGTTGGGATCGATTTCAAAGTGAAAACTGTGTTCAAAAATGAAAAGAGAATCAAGCTTCAGATTTGGGTAAGTGGCTTTGAACTGACTGACACTATTCTACAGGCAGGGGTATTAGACATGTACATGTGTAAGGGAAAAGGTTTTCAATTTGATCTGTCTCTGCGGTGTCCACAGCTTTTGTTTCCAGCTCTTTTGCTACAGAACATTCTGCAGAGAGATGGGTAATGCCTTGTGAAGGTAGAAGATTGAATCGTATCTTGTAACCTAGTGGTGCTTCTTAAACAGTCTTTAAAAGAAAAGAAGTCCAAACTTCATTGTCTTGGTGGTGGAAGTAGCACTCTACGAAAAATCTGGTTCTGCCTTGTATGATCCATATGGGCAAGTTTGTGGATCCTTCTATAGTCAATTTTATAATTAATAAAGTAGGCAATGCAGCTCTGTCCTTTTAGATCATACAAAAAGCAGCCTGCCCCAAACATTTTAAAGAAGGCAATAAAACGTAAACATAGGATAAAGCCAGGTTAGTTCCTTTATAAAACCCCAGATCTAACTTTGCACATAGTCTATTTATATGTTACCATCTTTCTCTTTCAGCTCTAAAAGCCATGTTTACATATTCAAAGGAAACATAACAGGTAGAGCATAATATTTGTTAGAAAATTCTTCACGAGTTTTGAGATCACTTGACAAGCTTTCTGCCTTTTCCCTCTACCTAAATATCAGATGTTTTTTTAACTTAATTGTTGGCATATATTTGTAAGACTAGTTAGCATAATACAGAAGAAAATTGTATTTAGGTAATAGGTTTAAGGTAACATAAGCATTGGTGTTATCTAAATCATTACTTGCTATGCTAAGAGATTTGTGTAGTAAATGCTTTATGGAATTATACTATGTACATTAATAAAATGTATTAGGGGTCATTTTGGTACTTTTCCCTGTCAACTCATACCTCTACCACTCAAACTGGTTAGAGCTGTAAACAAGTGTTTCCTATGAGGTTTTATTTTTCTCTCAATTCTAGACTTTTTCAGTAATTACTGGTACAAGTTATTGGTTGCTTTGATCTATATGAATGGTTATAAGTCTCTTTCCTTAAATGTGGAAAGCTTCAACTGAGGAAGAAATCCAGAGGATAATGTTTATTTTATTTTTTTTAAAATGGAAGAACCCTTTATTTAACCCTTTATATAAATGGGATTGCCTTTAAATGTCTTCAAAGTCCTAGGAGTAAAACTTAAAGATGCAGAGATATACATTGGCAGATGTTGTTTTATTTATTCCGACTGAAAAATTTCTAATCAGAAGTCACATGAGAACTTAGACAATTAGTTCCCAGGATAAGCATCTTCAATGATCTTCCATTTTTTATTGTCAAGGTGGTGTACAGAGGGTTTCAGTAACATAAGTAAGGTAATGATTACATTTCTTTTCAACTTTCTTACCCCTTCCATCAATTTTCTCCTACTTCTCGCCTTCTAACTCCCCCAAATTATACAGATGCTTTCCAACATATTGTCTTGTGTATATAGCTGTTGTATTGTCTTGTGTATCTCACTGTTGCTTTGATTCTTCCCTTTCCTTTGTCTCACCATTCTGTTGTTCCCCTTCTCTTCCCTAATTCAAATAAATGTATATACAATATCAGGGTACCAAAATCAAATACAATGACAACAGGGGATATAGCATAGGGGGAAGAACATACAAAAGAAATAAAAAAAATCACATAATACATTAAAAATAACAACAACTCGTGTGTCCATGTCTTGAAGTTCATTTTACTTAGCATCATCTTATATGGTCATATGTATATAGCTATTGAGCTATTCTGCTCATCTGCTAAGATTATCCTAGACATATACTAATTATTACAAATAAGGGAAATCATGGGACCTATATTTCTTTGAGTCTGGCTTACTGATCTACCATTTCTAAAGTCATTTAATTGGGAAGGGCCCTGCTTAGGAACTTGATTTCAGTCAGTGGAGTCCCTAGACACACCTCTATGTCTGAAGCAATGTCTATTGTTTCCCATTTGGGGCTTATCATAATAACAAATGTTATATGATAAGTTTCTTATTCAAACTTAAGATACCTTCACTCTTGGGGGCCTTGGTAGATTGAAAATGAAATAAAAAATTGAAAAGGGTGACATTAATCACGACACTCTGTATCTATAAACTGTTTTGTTAAATTTCAACTCCTTTGTACAACAACTTAAAAATAATAAGATAAATAAAATTAAAAATAAGTTAAAAAAGAAAATGAAATTAACTTGATAACTATACATTTCCTCACTTCAATGTTCTTTCTGCTAATAAGAGAGAACAATCATTCTTCTGGCAGATGGCTTCTAGTTTTTTTCTCTCTCCTTTGTGTCTCAGATTTTTTAAATGATTGGTCTAATCATAGAGACAAAACACCAACCGAGTATGTTCAGTTAGTCTTATAATTGTTAGTAGTAATTTGTCAGTGACGGTTGTTGCCAAATTCTTTGTGGAGGCACAAAACCCTTTATCCTTAATGTAAAGAGGGTATATTTGTAATAACAGAAATTATTACTTTTAATCAAATATATTCTTTAAAACATTAGTGTTGATACCAGGCCAGTTCTAATTCATTCTCTTTTTGTTAGAATTGAGGTTTCATTTTTCTGTCTGCATCTCACTTCTGAATGAATGCTGAATGAATACTCTGAGGAGCTTTGTGCTATTTCTCCTTTACTGCTTTTACATGATTTTGTCAGTTTCTGTAACTTTGTGCAAAGAATGTGGTATATTATTTTACTAGATTCATTTTAATCTTTCAGATTCCATTTTCTGAAACTTCCAAGTGCCTTCATAACTAGGGTAGCCTGGGAACCTCTTCCGAGAGCTTCATTCCCTTGTCTTGCAACAACCATATTTCCTCAGTGGTCAGCCACTGGGAGCCCTTCATCATTCCATCTTCTCAGCCCCTACAGTAGTTTAGTGGTCACTAATATCTTTGTAATAAATCATAGCATTATTTTATGCTCTTCAGATGTGTTATGAATTCTTCATTCACATGTACTTCTAGGAGTTAGAAAATTAGTTTTATATTATTTGGCTTACTAGGTTGCAAAACATTCTAATAAGTATACAGAGGTAGCATTGAATTTATAGTAAAATGCTATTATTCAGGGAATAATTTCATGCTCCTCTAACCATTTGCCAAATTGTGTAAGTATTATACACACCAGCTCACAAGTAAGGATTGTCCATCCTGATCTCCCAGTTTTCACAACAATCCAATTTTGTATTTGTTAACATTTCTATTTTACCTGAGAATCTGAAAGTGAGACAAGTTAAATAACTTGCTTAGTATCATACATGGTTCCAGGCTAGATCTGTCAGGTTCCAATGCTGTTTCTCCCTCTCCCCCACCTCCATCAAGAAGGAGTCTTGAATGTGGCAGATTGGAAAATATTGGATAAATGCATCCTGAGATACTGAACATGTTTTGGAAATATTTGACTATCTTACTAAATTAAGGTATGCAGGGAAGATATAAGGAGCAACAGAGTAGTATGTTTAAGTAAATGCATTTGTATGATTTCAGGGATCCTTACTTTAGGCCATGAATGAGCCATACATATTTATTTGTCTACAAATATTATTAGTTAACAACTTTGCCTAATAACTTATTTGGGAATATATTTAGACCCAACAGCTTGTCATATCTTGGTGTTTTAATAACCAATTAGCTGTTCTTCCCAATTTATAGTATTTTTCACTTATATTGATAGTCAATTAATTCATTGGGACAACAACAACATCTTGGCCTCATATTTGAAAGTAAAAGATGCATAAGAACAGTTATTAGGCAATATTTTCCAGTAGGATAATAACATTGAAGTTCAGAGAAAGAGTGTTGGCAATGATTGGAATTAGACTATCTAGATGGTCAGAGGTGACAGTGTAGTTTCTAAAGACATGACAGTTTCCATTGCCTAAAAAAAAGGCTGTAGTTCACGCCTAGTACTGGAACACACACACACACACACACACACACACACACACACACACACACACACCATACTTTTGTCTCATGCCTATAATCATAGCTACTTAGGAGGCTGAAATCTGAAGATTACAGTTCAAAGCTAGCCCAAATAGGAAGAGTCAGTGAGACTCTATCTCAAATTGACAACCAGAAAACTGGAAATAGAACTGTGGCTCTACCTAACGGAAAGGTGAGCCTACAAAATACACAGCTTAGTAGATTGGGCCACGCTATCATGGAGATTACTATTTCCTTAGAACTCAACCACACTTTTAGAAATTTGGCTCTCTCTTATTTCCTATTCTTATTATTCTGCACTCATTATTTTTTCTCTCCCTCCAGTCCTTGTCCTCTTTCCATTCCTGTTTCTGAGTTCTGATCTGGCTGAGTTTTTGGGAATCATACCTTTCAGGTGTTCTGACACCAGGCTGTCACCCAGAGATGCACACACGTACACAACACAAGGATGACGGCTAGGGTGTTGAAAGAGGTTACTCTCTAATTAAAGCTTCAGGAAGGAGGATCTTGCCCTCTTTACAAAGTTGCTGCTATCTGCTGGTCAAAAATTTTCCTACTGCTCTGCCTTCAACCAAGGGGATTCTTACTTATACAGCAGTTGTGGATGCAAACAGTTAGTTGGTCAGAATCTAACAAAGGAGTCAGTGTGAAGTTACTAGAAGATACCAGCCCTGCTTCCCTTTTGGAGGCCTACCAGATGGTATTGTAAACTACATTTTATTATGGAGGTGTGCCAAGACCAACAGATGAGGAGATGATTATCACTGAGAAGTAAGTTTTTTATACTCACAAATCCCAAGAGAAGGATGCATAGTCAGGGGGACCCCAGGGAATCAGGAATCATTAGAATGGTCAGGAAGAAAAGTAGGGAGCACCATGAGCAAGAGTCACATTCAAAATTCCTGCAGGAAACAATGCGAGAGGAGATAAGCAGGTGTAGCATGACTAGTTTGAATAGCAGCAGGTGGTGAGGTATTGGGGCTGTTCATAGAAGTTTGGTACCTGATTCTACAGTGATTGACCAA